CCTCACCTATTTTAAGACCATGAGTATTGGTCCGGCCGGGGTTCGAACCCTCGACCTCCCGCACAACACAATCCGGTGCTCTAACCAATTGAGCTAACCGGGAGGCGATCACTTTGTGATCAATTCAATAATTTCTTATACAGCCTAACGTCGCATTTTGCCCCACTGGATACCGCCTTCGCTAGTGACTCCCTCCCCGTCTCCCCTAAATTTCTTGTCACACATGGCAAGGCGTTCAAGGCTCTCAGTTCAATTAAGGTGCCCATGTCACAAAATTTTTTATTCTGTCATTTAAAAGTCCACATTAAAAAAGGAACTTCCGCGAAAAAATTTTCGATTTGAACAAAACGCGAGTTCTTTTATGATATTTTTAATCCTATTTTTGTTTGTACACGCCTTCCGCTGATTGAGAAAGTACGGGCTCATAAATGACGCAGATTCAGGAACGCTTGTTGCCGTGGCTCCCGTGTTTACTACAAACAAATCCGTCATTTTAACTACCTCGTGAATTGCACCACAAATCAATCAGAATTTCCTTAAACAGCGTTAAAACTCTTCAATTTATGAGGGCATACTTCTCATCGCACAGTGTAAGATTTCACACAGAAAACATATCTCATAATTGCCGTATGTTGCATTGGAATCTACCGCATTTTGGGAGACTGGTTTCTGCTTGCAGGTCACACTGTAAAACAAATGTGAAAAGCATTATTTTTTTGTCCTCGCTGTTATTTATACAAATTATCCTGGTTTTTGGTTTACACCAACGACTATCTTACCTCTTGACTACTTGCAGGCATCACGTTTCATGGTGTCAACAACATACAATCCGGCGAAACTGAAGTTTGAGCCTCTGCATCTAATGACTTTAATCGAGCCTTGGCAGATCTTAATAACTGCAAAGAGAAATGCATAAACAGCGATCATAAACCAGTAAAATAAACCGCACATTTATCGTCCAAGAAAGGCTTTTGGGGAAAACTTATTGCACAATCCACACTGACAACACGTGGAAAGAAATTCCACACATTATTAATAAACTCACCATTCGCTTTTCCCGCTGAGAGGGGGGCTCTTCCACTTCTGTACCAGCATGGATCAAAGGGTTCACACAAATCCCAACTTCGTCAGTCTTCGAACATCGTCTCATTTTCGAGTCCAAACGAAACTGAAAATCTTCCCCTCTGAAGTATATCGAACACAATGAAGGTGTTTTTCCGGGCTGCCAGTTCTTCCTCTTCGCCAAGACGAAGTCGATCCATTTTTCCTTCGTCTCTGTGCAGTGGGGTTTTCAGAGTTAAGAAAAGGAATTCTGTACATACTAATTCATTTTGCGGGATCTGCTGTGTTTCGCATCGTGCAGCAACACATCTTTCGGGCATTTTTTTGACCTTTTTTTTCCACTCACTCGATGAACTCTTGGTCAAGTCTCTCTCGAGTTTATTAGCAACTGATATCACGTGATCCTTAACCTACGGCAGAATAAAAAATTTGGTGACATGGGCACTTTAAGGCTAACAAGTCCCCTGGTCCTGATCAAATTCCTTCCCGGGTCTGGAAAGAATTTGCACAAGAACTGGCCCCGGTTGTAAGTGACCTATATAATTGTTCCTTACACGAAGGATGTGTTCCTGATGTATTAAAGACTTCCATCGTCACCCCGACCCCCAAGGTATCCCCGCCAACGCGGTTGGAAGAGGATTTGAGACCAATCACTCTAACATCACCACTGGCCAAGGTCCTCGAAGGGTTTACTCTGGATCACCTGAGGAGCCGAGTAGCATAGAGCCTGGACCCTGAACAGTTCTCAGTATCTGGCAGATCGACCACGCATGTCTTGGTGTATATGCTCCATATAATATTGGAAGCTCTAGATAAAGGGAATTGCTCTGTGAGAATTTTCTTCGCTGACTTTTCAAAGGGTTCTGTACGTTAGTACACGCCTTCGTTACATGCAGATTAGACAACTGTAATTCTCTGTTGTATGGTCTTCCGAAACATTTAGTTCATAGATTGCAATTAGCCCAGAATTGTGCAGCACGGCTGATCTTATTTGGTCCCAAGCATGATCACGTTACTCCTTCTGAGGGAACTGCACTGGCTCCCCGTGGAGCAGAGGATTATTTTCAAAATCTTATTTTTTACTTTTAAAGCTTTAAATAAATTATGCTCTAGTTATATCAGTGACTTGTTAGAAACTTATAAGCCCACTAGGTCTTTGCGATCATCGAGTAAGAACTTGTTAGTGATTCCTCGCTCCAAGTTGAAATCTTATGGCGATCGCGCCTTTTCTGTCTCTGCACCTAAGTTGTGGAATGACATTCCTGAAACCATAAAATGTAGTATAGGTCTTAACACTTTTAAGCGTAATCTTAAAAACTTATCTTTTTAAGCGTTATTTTAATAATAATAATAATAATAATAATAATAATGATAATAGTAGTTTATTAAACTCTCTTGCAGTAACTTATTGAATTAACGAGTTATGATACAATGAAAACTTAATAACAACGACTATGTGCACTTCTGTATACATTAAGTACAAGTATATACACTACACGGAACATACATCACATTTGTTAAAAATACTTAAAAGTTAAAAAGTCTTCGGTGCGCTTCGTTCTACAGGTAGTAACGTTTCTGTAAAGATACAACTGGTCTGATTTGTGCCTGAGGTTATAGGGACAGGTATCGTCTAAGCGTGTTGGTAAAAGAGGATGGAGAGGGTGGTTTGAATAATTACGTTTGATTATTATTTTACTTTTTACCTTGATTGTGAAGCGCCTTAGAGCTTTTGGATAGGGCGCTATATAAATTGTCATTTATTATTATTATTATTATTTTGATTTAGTGGGCCATAACACCTTGGTCAATGAATTGAAACTGCTTAATGTAAAATATGTAATTATTAGGTGGCTTTGTTCCTTTCTTTCTAATAGGCCCCAACGCGTCAAAATTTGGAAAGTCTTGTCAAATGTTATCGTAAGCAGTGGGGGTATCCCTCGGGGCACAAAATCTGCCCCGCTACTATTTGCTCTTCTCGTCAATCGCCTAGTGTCTAGCTGGCCAAATCGACTTAAGTATGTTGATGACACCACAGTTTTTGAAATAATTCCTAGCCTGCTCCCCCAGTTATTTACAATTTATTGTTAAGGAGATTAGGGATTTTGCTTCAGTACAGGGAATGCGCTTCAACCCCAAGAAATGTAAAGAGCTCCATTGCAAGTAAACTTTCTTCATTATCTGCCTGCCTCTCCTCAAGGCTTAGTTCTTAGTTACTCGGTGTCTATATTTCTTCAGATCTCTCCTGGAAGAACCATATTGACTAAATTGTGAAGAAAGCGAGCAAGCGCCTTTAGCTCTTTGGGTGCATGGGAAGGCAGGAGTCCCCCAGACTGATTTAGGGCTCATTTATTGCTGCCTAATACGGTCGGTCTTGGAGTAAGCGGCCCCTGTCTGGGCATATCTTCCTGAGTACCTTAATGAGCTCGTCGAGTCAGTACAACGGAAAGCACATAGGATAAATCTTCCCCCGTCTTGACTATGGATCTGGCCTTAGTGAGGTTCGGCTGCAACCCCTCGTGGTTCGCAGAGCTGAACTGTGTTCCAGGTCCATGGCTGGGGCGAGGAGGACTGAACCTATAAATTACATCCTTCCTCGCGCCACAGAGGTGAATCATGGTTATTCTATGCGAGCCGGCAATGTTCGAGTAGATCGGTTTAGAGGGGCCACAGACAGACTTAATAATTTTGTTTCTGTTCGATATCAATAAGATGTATATTTAATGCTGTACTTATGTAATACTGACCCATGCTGCAATTCAACCTTAGCTGCGAGAGTATGGAATTAAACGATCATCAATCAATCAATCAATAAAGCATCAAAGGTAGGAAAGGTTACTCCATTATTCAAAGACATAATGAAAATAAGGAGAAAACTCAACTTGCATGTACATGACAGGAAAAACAAACGAGTACATGAAGACTATAAATAACCATAGGAAAGACACTGCGCCTTAGAAACACCTTATATTTAACTTTATGCGAACCTTACTTTAACCTTACACAACTCTCCTAAACAGTTCCACAATTATTTTGAAGAAACTATAGAAAAGCTAAGCGCTACTGGCAAGGTGATTTATATAATGTCTGATACAAATATCAATCTTCTCCATGCCTCATCCTGCACTTATACCCAAAACTTTCTTTTTTCCCTTCAAAGTTTTAGTCTAATACCACCTGTTGATAAACCCACACGTGTTCACAACAATTCTGCCACCTTAATAGATAATATTTTCACCAATAATGGGCAAGAAGAAATTATTAGCAGCAACATAATCTCTGACATAAGCGATCACTTTACGCAATTTTGTATTACACGATCAGTTATAGAAAAAGGACAAATTGGCAGTCATCTGATCCGGGACTATCCTCATTTTTCAGAGGAAAACTACATAAACGACCTATCGCAAGTTGACTGGGCTCGAGTGGTTCCTGAAGTGGGAACAGACGTCGATAAACTCTTCTCTAGGTTTTACAACAAATAAACTAATGCATGTCCCTCTTAAACCAATCTCAAAACGTAAGTTTAAAACCTTTTAAAACCATAGATAACTAGAGGGATAAGGAAATCTATCAGAATAAAGAATAAACTTCTATCATTAGGAAATAAAGATCAATACAAATACTACCGAAATAAAATTCTGACACTCACGCGTCTGAGTAAAAAGCTATATTATCAAAATTTTTTTCAAGTAAACATTAAAGATATGAAAAAAACTTGGGAAGGCATTAACAGTCTTCTTAACAGTAAAAAGAAATCAGGAAAGCTATAAATATATTAAAGAGCTCGGATAATCGAGGGCTATCTTATAACCCCTATGAACATACCAATATACTAAACTCCCATTTTGCATCTATTGGGAAAAAAACTTGCTTCAAAAATTTCACCTGGTAATAAACTGACTTTTCAGATTTTCTGCCGACGATAGCCTATAGTGATTCTTTTTTATTTGAACCAGTCCTTTTTTCTGAAGTTGTGCTTAAAATAATGTTGGCACCTTCAGGTAAAGCACATGGATTGTACTCTTGCCCAAGTCGTATACTGAAGTGCTCGCGTGAAATAATTGCCAAACCTCTAACGACTCTAATAAATGTATCTGTTCAGAATGGTCGCTTCCCATTGAGATTAAAACATGCCAAAATTGTTCCCGTGTTTAAAGATGGAGATGAAACTGATCCTTGTAACTATCGACCCATATCGCTCCTCTCAATATTTAACAGAATTTTTGAAAAAATTATGAGCAATCGACTGAAAGTATTTTTGAACAAGCATGACATATTTTACAAGTCACAATACGGTTTTCGTAAGCGATGTTCCACTAAGCATGCGATCCTCGATATAGTCAACAAAATCCAGGCTAACATGGATCTGGGCATATTCTCTTGTGGAATTTTCATTGATTTGCAAAAAGCATTCGACACGGTTGACCACTCGATCCTGTTACATAAACTCAATCACTATGGAATTCGTGGAGTTGTAAATGACTGGTTTTCATCGTACTTGTCTGGAAGGGTCCAAACCACACAAATAGGATCCTACATATCCCAAAAAGAAAAAACCCTGTGTGGGGTCCCACAGGGCTCTGACAATCCCACTCACGCCTCACGCCTCACGCCTCACGCCTCTTGTTTCCCATTTGTTCTTAAAGAAATTCAAACTGCAGAAATTTTCATTAGTTTCACGGCACATTGTTCCATCAATGGAGACCTCCGTTAACAGGGAAGTAGGAGTATACACAGAGAAGGGGGGAGCCAACTAGGAAACTCACCTAACAACTGCTTGATAGCCCTTATGTATGGGACACCTAAATTGGTTCTGTTGACCGCCCGTAAATCCTCGGTCCAGTCCTTGACTATCTGCAACACGGCCTGCAGTTCAGACCTCTGTTGCTCCATTGTCTTCAACATTCCATTCAAATCATCTATTCTCTTACGTAAAGCCTGTTGGTTACTGAAGATCTTTTTGACGGGTATGCGCTTTTGCTCATCACCGCTGGAACCTTCATTGTCACTGAGCCCACTATCTGACGACATTGACATCTTTTTACCTTATATCATGGCAAGATGAGAAATACTTATTAACGGAAAACTTGATTTAGAAATTATAATGGCCGCAATGTCTAAGAGAGTGGATTCCTCAACTATATCGGTATATGGAACAACACATACTATTAACAGAGCGCAGTGTACGTATAGACCATTGGACGCATTCAACAGAACAAAGGTAAACACGTGAACACATACATTACCACCATGGTTTACTGCACGAACATTTTAAGATTACAAACGAAAGGACTCCATCAAGCTTGAATAACTGGAAAAGAAACTTGCAGGGTGGTTAATGGGATGAAGATCAGAGCAACAAACTAGTGAAAGAAGGAACGAGATAGGAGAGAAGTATTTTAAAACGTAGACAATTTTTACCTATGCGCGTTTTTGTTTCAATTATATCTATAATATTCGCTTAGTGTGTTAAATGGCTTTTGCCAAGGAAATAGACCAGTTCATGAAAACAGCAATTTATTTTTTTCTAATGGATCGGCCATTGACTTAAAGAGTGGCATAAAGAGTTGTGATGACTAACCTTTTGCTTACACTGAGTTGAATTATCTTCCAATAACGAGAACGTTCCTGAAGACATGGCTAAGTGACCGGGAGGTTTAGTGGTACTTCTTTATTTCTTGCACCCTTATTTCTTGCACCCTTATTTCTTGCACCCTTATTTCTTGCACCCTTATTTCTTGGTTCAACATCCCACAGTCAAATCTTATTTAATGTCCTTGACAGCAAAAAATTCCCAGATATATCTCCCACCCTCTGTTAACTTTAACTCAAGCCCCTGGTTAGAGTTCTCATCCGAGGCGAAAGCTTTATTAATGCTTATCACATGGAGTTAAAGACATACCTTTCTGTGACAAAGCTTTGTTTTTCTTCGGTATCGCTGGGGCATACCTTACTCCTGCAGCCGAAGATTTAGAGTTGCTGGGATATTTTAAAATACCTTTCCTCAAAGGAGACGGATGCTTAGACGTGGCGCTGCGTTGATCCTTTATGACTATGTCCCCAAATAATTCTGGGACCTTACTTTGACGTACCTGTCGTGGAGTTGATTTGATAGAGAAGCCCCGGGAATACTGTACTCTTTGAGATAATAATTGCCTTTGGACAGCTTTGGGGGATACAAAAGACGGGAATTTCTCAGGGGAGCTATTACAGCTGCTTTTTCTTTGCTTCATCTTGTCCGGCACTCGTTGAGAATTTCGATTCAATGTTTTGATTCTATCGTTTCGTATCAGATGCGACTTAAGGTTTATGGGATTTAAAGTCATCCGGGAACTATCGGCAGTCTCATTCAGATTGGCAGGATCTGGTTTTAGTTCTGTTGTAGATTGCTTAGTATTTGTACTTAAAGTCTGGTTCGCAATTGCTGGTTCGAAGTCTTGTTCGATGCCGCTCTCGTCTTTGTCTTCTGCAGAAGTTGAACTGTCACACCGTTCAGATTCGTCTAAAAGAGAGACTTCGTCCTTGATACTCTCACAGTCTTTCGTCTCACCATTACATCTGAAAACAAAATACCACGAGCAAAGCAGGTTAGCTTTTATTAAATAGTCTTTCACTTATTCAATTGGAACAATGTAAATAACACAAGCAAGGGAAGAAAAACTACAGACTACCAAATTACACCTGATAATAATTAATTTGATCAAGCTTTTCCTTTTGCACTTGAACCAATCAGATTGCTGTATGAAACCGCGTTAACATAACGCCAGTGACATAGCCATACCTCTCTGTATCAGAAAGCGTTGAGGATTCCAACACTAAACACAGTTCGCAAATTTCATTCTTCTTTACCAAATTTCTCTCCTCAGCTCTGTCTTCAAGTTTACCGACTGAGTCAGCGACGTGTGCATCGATGCCTTCGTCCTCAGAAGATTCCCCAATCACCCTTATGTCTGACGTAGATTTTAAAATACTCGACATAGGCTGGTTTGCTTCCATAAATGGTGGAGAGGATTCCTGAAACAAGAAACAGACATGAGTGTCTTTCAAGACTTAACTGTTTACTTGAACATTTGAGTGATGTAACTGACCTGTAGCTGAGAGTTTGGGTCAACATTTTCTTTCTGAGATTTGACGTTTTCATCGTCTTCCTGTTTTGTTCGACGAAAGCTGAACAACCTCCGGAGCATGTTTTCTCGAATAAATGCGTCTAGGACGAGGTAAACTGTTCAAGTTGAAGAAAGAAATCATGACCGACTTAATTGAGTTCACTTATCATGTTGTTGAGACATGATTTGATTTTCGGATTATAGTTATAAAAAATAAGGAAAATGTTTCTAAACACTGAAAGAAACGAAAACTGAATTGGGAAAGAGTGCATATACATGTTTCCATGCTACTGATGTATGAGCTATCCATTTCTTTACTAGAAATTTACAAACAAAGAGAATTCAACAACGCTGGTTATTTGTGACTTTGTTGTTATAAAGAAATAAACGTGCCCGTTAGGAAGGTGTTCAACAGCTGTCCCGCTATCATGCGTCGTTTGTGAAATCGTGTAAGCGTGTAACAGGTGTGACAACTAATCACGTGTATCTATCGAGGGCAGACAGTTAGAAGATCTTCAGTATAAAACTAAGGTGTAAACAACGCTGTAATTGATATCAAAACTTATCTAGGACTTATTTAAAAGAAACAAAGAAATGACTGAAAAACTAACAACCGAAGTTTGTTTAGAATGGTGATTACGCCCGAAAATCAACGCGCAGCAGGCGGCACTAAGATTATTGACATAATGAAGCAATAAAAACTACCTGCTGAATTTATATTCTCGTTACCTTGTTGTGGAATTACAAGAACCCTTCCACCTCAGTTAACACGACTTCCTTCCCGCTCTTTACTTTGCTTGTGTGAGAATGATTCAAAAGCCGCGAATTTTGTGACAAATTGCTCCGTTTACCACTTTTTGTAAATAGCGGGTTAATGTGGGTGGAGTTTATCTTATTGTCAACCCCCTGATAACAAACACCTTACATCATATGTTCTTTTAATTTGGTGAGTTGGTTCGGGAAGAAGTGAGGTTTAGGGCGGGATTTCTCTCACCGTTCAATTTATCAATAATGATTTTAAAGACGATGAGAACACTGCGACAATCCTCTGAATTACGAGCACTCAATTTGAAGAGTCTTCAGTTTGTCCCTCGCCGCGGGTAGACACTTATCAAATGAGAACTTAGACGGACCCACAAGTGACAATTTTCTTTTGCTTTTTGTTCAAAGACAATTTCTTATAGCCTATAATAAAGAAACTTGATTTTAAACTGAGAGATTGGAATATCAACGAGAACTGCAAATACAATCTAGGGCAAATACTCATTTTCCCGCCCGATGCAGTGATGATTCTCGACCCTTACTCCATGAATTGAAATAAATAGCTATAAATGACAAGAAATGAGAGTGAGAGGGGTTGTAATATTAACTGAGTAGCAATCCCCAATTGTCTTTATTGAATTATAACCAATTAAACTCAAACCTATTATATTTGGCCTGCCCAATGACGAAGAAAATACAATGTCATGGTTCATGGTATGTTAGGCGAACAAACACGACACTTAGAAACTCTCAATTTTGACGTTTCTCTTAAATTCCCCTTTTTAGTGTTTTCTTTGATACTACAAAAAATTACGTTGTTAACACTGACAAGGCCAAAGGCAAGAAAGCAGTTAGGCATATAACTCTCTGACTTACCTCCGCGATTGTGCTGCTCGTCCGCTGACTGTGATGGTTTCTTAACTAACGACATAATCAGCACAAGAAGTTGTTATAACAACTCAGTGTTTAAAAATTCATGGAAAACAACTAGCTTTGGAAGGATTCCACACGAACTCTCAAAATATTGACCAATGGAGCGCCTAATGAACTACCTCTTGCTGCAGATCAGTTATATGAGGTGCAGGCGCAAATGTGAAGAGTTTGACAATTTTAGGTCAATCGTTTACGTTCCATCAGCTGAGTTATGATGCATATCTCACGCACCTGTTTCTCCACAAAAAGTGACTTCTTCTGGGCGTTAACAGAACACGAAAGAGACTACCACGCCTTGGACGATAAGGTCACTCGAATTTTCCTCAGCCGAAAAGCAAACAGTTCATTTACCTACACGCAAATGTTTACAGAACTTACGTCGAGGTCTTTAGGACCAAAGAAAGATGAGAGGCATCTGTTAATTGCACTTAGCTGGTATTTGAAAGTATCTGAACTGATTCTGTTCCACGAAAGCTAAATTTTTTCCTATTTTAACATCTAGTATAGAGCCGCGAAAGGGTGGCAAGCCGTAAATTGAGTCACTTCACCTTCAACTGTGAGCTCTGTAGGACACCAAGGGGGGCCTTAAACGGATCATCGCACGACACAACATGAACTGTCAAAACTCTGGACGATTCAAGCATCCAAGAACAGGGTGGAACCACGCCAGTTTCATTTCTAGACTCAGAGTCAAATTTTTAAAATTGCGCGATTGGAAATGGTTTATTTCAGATAAAGTGAATTGTGAAAGGGATCGGTGAATCATAATTAATCATAGGGGAAAGTTTGGCAAGTAAAGCACTCTATCGTTAGGATTACTATTAGCAGAGAAGCAATGTCCGAAAATTTAAAGTCAATCGCTCTGAATCTTTGAACGCTTATTATTCTAAAATTATAAATGAACGTCGGTCCATATCATTATTTGTCGATTTGATGAAGAAAGGAATTGCACAGGAACACCCAACTCAGCCCAATAGAAGAGAAAGTCTCAACGCGGTAAACATTTCTGTCTTGCCTGTACTCTAACAGACAGTAATAAGTTAAGTGAAATAATGAAACTGACCTAAAATGAGCTATTTCAATGCCCCCAATGGAACAAAGCTAATGTCTGATGGCATTTTACATATTACAGTTCATTACATTGTTCATGGTGGCTTAATATTACCATGAAAAAGGATATGTAAAGCTCTGCCATGATCGGCTATTGCTAGCCTGCGAGCGGGCTTTCATTGGTGCTGCGCAGAAGCGGGCGAGATTCGAGCCGACGAGTGAGGGAGAGTCTTTGAGGAGTCTGGCACTAAAAATGAGCCAGAACCCGTGAACGTGGTGACCCCCTCGCGCCCTAACATTGCTCGACGGCTTGAAACGCGTAGGCTTCACCGCTCATATCGCAGTACTGGAAAAACTTGGTTTGTGTGAATGTAAATATTTCAAGGCGGGAATAGGCCAACTGAACTACTTGAGTTCGAACAAAATATTTCCCCAGTCTTTTTTTAAGATTAAAAGACTGTGAATGTAGAAAATCATATATGTGAACGGCGGGTTAAGAAATGAATATCAAAGCAATTTTGCAGGAATGAACACTACTTGAGTAGTAGTGAAAATAATTATTTTCTTTTTATTTACTGCTCAAGCAGTTTTCATTACTTCGAACCGCCTTCCGGTTAGCTCAATGGATAGAGCGCTGGACTGTTGTGCGGGAGGTCGAGGGTTCGAGCCCCGGCCGGACCAACACTCATGGTCTTAAAATAATT